TAGTGAATTAAAACATCGATATGTAAATATAAAAGATTGATAGTTTTTTTTCTTCTTTATTTAATGTTGAGTTTTGTTATCTCTGGTAATTTCTTTTCTAATTAAATAAAATTGTAGAATATAATTTAAGTTTAGATGATATATCTGTATATCATTTCTGTCGATCTTATTTAAATATAATTAATGTCCTTACGATAAGTTATTGTTCTATGCAATGAGGCGCAATGAAAAGTTATTTGTCATCAATCATTTATTGTATTTTTTCGCATCATGATTGGTAAAGTGCTGTCAGAAAAAAAGCTAAAAATAGATGAAAAAAAATACAATATGACACATTATTTTTGTGCCCAAAAGACACATTAACCAATTTCCGTTTCCTTGATTATTAAGTAGAACAAATTATTCGAGGTATTTCTCTTGAAATAATTTGTAATGTTCTTATCTGATAGAAATACAGATGTAACAAATGTACAGAAATAATATCTTGTACTATTATCAGTTCTAACAGAGTTACAATGAGTTAATAGACCATACATTTTCGAATATATTCATTTGTTTTTTTTATAAATCATCACACATTAAAAGATAAATAAGTTCGTATACTTGCAACGAGAAGACTATCAAGATAATTTGTATGAGTAATGATAAAATCTAATCAAGAATAGATAAACACATATATAATAGTGTAATAAATTCTAGTATTACAATGCAAATGTGTATTAAATAGAGATAAATGATCAAATATCTTAAACAATCATCTATATATTCTTTAATGTTCATTTTTTTTAAGTATAAGAATAATAATTTAAATTTAAATGTCAGTTAATTTGTCAAAGTTATTTTTTTGTGTATGTATGTTTCTTTTTCCATCTGGATAAAAGTATTCTATAATATTGATTGAAAGAATAGAATATTTGTTTCTTTTGTTGATAGAAGACACTATGATTACATTGAAAGATCATTCTATTGACATTAGAGACTGTATATATTGTATTGAAGAAGCTTGTAAATGAGGAAAGAAGAAATATTTATTTATATTAACGTATTTCCATGTGTAAGAACAACTGTTATCGTTGTCAAGAAATATTTTTTGGAACAAAAAAAAAAAGAAGAATAATGTCTATTTATGTTTGAGATATGTAAGACTGTTAAGGAGAAGAGAAAGGCATATTATCAATAGAATCAGTCAGTTAAACTAGTAGAATATTATTCTGTATAAAGAAAACAAAAAAGATAGTTGTCGAGAAAAAATGCAGTTATTTATTATTATTATCTTAGTTATATCTTTTGGATTTGCTTTCATTGGTATAACAACTAATTATTGGTATCAAAGTCCATCAAATGAATTTAATGAAGGTCTATGGGTGATTTGTCGTCTTCATGCATCAACAGCACATTCATCAACAATATCAGAAGTTTGTGATAAAATACCTTATTTTAAATCTCAAGGTTTAGCTATTACTGGAATTATTTTTTTATCTATTTCGATTATTTTATCAACAATACAAAGATATAAAAAAACTGATCGTCTTTTAGCTTATTTAACAATAACAACACTTACTTTAGATACATTTCTTCTTATACTCAGTTGTTTATTATTTCCAAGAGAAATGAATATAAGACGACTTGGTTATTCACTTTCTTTTGTATTATGTAGTAGTCTTTTAAGTTTTCTTACTATAGGATTAGTTGCTTTTAATGCAAGAACAAGTCAATCAATATGAAAAAAACAAATTCTTTTTTTTTTTGTTAAATAATATAAATTTTTTATGTCATATAAAGAATAAAAATATTGTATAATAAATAGAAAACTGATTCATAAAACGTTAGATTTATATTTAACTGAGTAATAAAATCATTTTGAGAGTGTAGTTGTTCGAAAGAACTGAAACATTCACATCCATTCACAACGATATAAAATTGCTGAAACAAAATACTAGCTAATTTTCTAGTTATCTATTATAGTGAAGTAAGAGATGAAAAAATGATTTATTAAGAGAATATAAAAGATAATCGATTGATTAAATTACAGTTAAATCACTCATAGTGAACAGTTTAGGATTACAAACAAGTTTATATACTCTATTGAATCGTCGAAAGTAGAGATCGGCGGTTCCAAAAATTACCCGGATCCGAAACCGGAACCGCGGGTTCGGTTCCGATTCTGGATAGTAAAATCGAGAAACAACGGTTCTACGTTCGGTTCCGGATACATTTACTGGAACCATTAATCGTTCGATATTATCTTGATTGATTTATCTTTTTCTTTTTTGAGGATGTGGATGTGGATTATGTCAAAAGCAAAAAACGTCTACCCACACACTCAAAGTGATGAACTTATAAAGACGACGAGATATGAATAAGAAAAAGATGATGAAAGGACAGCTGCATAAAACAAAAGAGAAAAGATGAGCTAAGACAAATGAATGAACTAAAGAGATGTGCAAGAACTAATGGGTAAATGTAGAAGACGATCTATGAAATCGATGAATCACTTTCTCAAAAGATCATCTGACGAGAATAATATATAGATGACACCAGTTATTACCAAAAAATATTCCTGTTCCAACGGTTCCGGATCCGGTTCTAGTATTTTTTAATTCGCGGTTCCGGATTCAGTTCCGGTTTGATAATCTGAAAATTTTCGGGTCCGATTCTGTATTTTTTGGAACCACCGATCTCTAGTCGAAAGAGAAAAGTAAAATGAACGATTATCACACTGGTGCATTTGTCTAATGCGATAACTGGCAGTAGAGAAAAAAAAGTGTTAAATGTGAAACAAAATATTGTGCTAATCAAAGATAATCGAAATGGTGAACGTGTCTCTTATATACATATCTCACCTATACCCATTATATATCTGATCTGTAATTTGTCTTGACTCTAAAACAACTAAACAAAGTTCTAATAAAGATTATGATACCATCTGCTGATTTTTTTTTTGAAAATAAAATTATAAATGAAAGAATGTAATCTTATTTGTATGGCGAATACTCTAAAAAAAGTCCAGAAGATTTTCCTGTATATTACATGAATTAATTGATAGAATAGTAAAATATTTCATTTTGTAATATAACACGATCAGGTAAATGTAAATCTCTTTAATGACGTACTGATTGATAGAGAAACTATTTTTTTCATCGGTAAATTTGTAATTTTATGTAAAACAGCAATTGACACGAGTTACTTTTATATAATCTGTTTTTTATATGTTGAAATAATATCTAAAAAAAACAAGTATCGATTTAGTTAATCATTGATAAGGTCAATGATCTTCAACTTGTAAAATTTCATATTCAAATACAAATAAATTCTTTAAAAAACAAACTTTCAATAATCTCTGATTGTATTTTTTGTAAGATGTTAATTACATAAAGTTTATTCTGAATAAAAGTTGTATTTATTTTATTATATCATTGGAATTAATAATCTCTTAAATTGAAAAATATCTGTAAAAAAATTATTGATTAATTCTATCACGTTTTGCACGTAACATGAGTCGAATTTTGTTTTGATTGTGATAACATTTATTTTTATTGATTTATAATAGAATTGTGAAAAAAACAGAAAAATTATTATTTTTTTTCTTCTTCGAATAATGTTTCTAATGAAAATTAGTCGATTGTTTAAGAATTTTTATTTTAATTCTCAACGAATTAAATTTTCATCATTATTTATTGATTCAACAATAATTCGGCGTGTCGAATATTGTTTAAAGATGATTTTAGCATTTATTATTTCGGGATTAATTGCATATGGAAGTTCATTACGTCATTATTTAGATCAACAATATATTCTATGTGTTATAAGCGTTTTATCAGTACAAGAAACAGTTGGTTCAACATTATATTCATGTATTCAAACAACAATTTCACTTGTTCCTCTTTCAATTCTACTTTTTCTTATTCAACTTATTGGTCTTTCATATCATCATTATTTAGCAGCAGAAATTTTATTACTTACTTTATCATTTATTATTGCATATCAATGCACTCAAGTACGTATTCGATTCTTTTCTTTTGTAGTTTTAATAAATTCATATTGATTAAAAGAATAGAAAATAATAGTTTCTCAGGGAGAGCAAACACAGTCTCCTGGAGTGCTAAATATTCCATGCCTCCCCCACCCCGCTAGATAAAACACATTTATATAATTTAAATTTTAGATTCAAACTCGAAAAATGACTCTGTTAATCAATGCATTGTTTTTTGCCACAGTTGTCAATCAAAATTCTTTACCAACAATTTTCGTATTTCTCCTACTCGCTTTATTTCTAATTGGTATGATAATATCCATATGTGTATCAATATTATTCTTTCCATTATTTGCAACATTTGATATTGAACATCGTTTTTCATATTGTTTAAAAAATCTTCAAGGAATGTATTATTTTATAATTCAAGCATTTCTATCAGATGATCGTATGAGTGCAAAAGTTTCACTTTCACGTGCATCTATTCTTGAACAAATGATTCGACAAACAATGATTTTAATGCAACCAAGAGTTACCGAGGCGAAATATGAACCATCAAGATTATTACAAAAAATATTTTATCGAAAACGTAAACATATTATTGATTTAAATATTCAAGGTTTGTTAGATTTAAAGAAAAACAATTTTTTAGTTTACTATAAATTCATTGTCTCTTTTAAGAACAAGCTAATTTAATAAATTCTTTAATGTTTCATATATGTTCTCTTCAAATAATGGTAAATCAATGTCAATTTAATGAATATCATACTAATTTAAGAAATAATCTTGAATCAAGTATTTATTATTTAAATTCATGTCAATCAAGTCTTATTTCATCATTTATATCATCAAGATCAATAACAAATAATGAATTAATGTATCGTTTATTAAATCTAACAAAAGCTGTGAAATCAGTTCGTTTATCATATAAAAATATTCGTTTTATTTCTACGAATAGTCTTGAATCAACACAAATCAATCAATCAGAAAATCATCTTTCTCATGCATTTTTTCTTTTTCAATTATTTTATATTGTTAGAATATTAACAGAAATAACAACCGATAGAAAATATGAAAATAACATAGAAAATCAACAACGAAATTTTTCTTTAAAACAATATTTTATATTTGAACGATCAAGATTTTTATCAGCATTTAAATGTATGATTATTATTGGTGTTGGATCAATGTTTGTTATGATTCCATATTTAGCAAAAATTTTTGAAAATGGTCAATGGGTTTTAATTGCTCTTTGTATGACACAAAGTGATACTGTTGGAGGAGCATTTACAACAATGAAAATGAGATTAACTGGAACTCTTTTAGGTAAAAATAATTATAAATTAAATATTTAATGCTATTTCTTTCTTCTTCTCAATAAATAGGTGCTATGTGGTCATATATAACATATTTATTAGTTCATGATAATATATTTCAAACATTTCTTGTTTTAATTCCATGGATATTTTTATTTGGTTATTTAAGATTATATCCTAAATGGGCTTATACAGCAGCTGTAGCTGCAATTACTCCAGTACTTATTAATTTAGGTCGCTTACCATATGGTGATAAATTACCAGCTGGAAATTATGCACTTCTTCGTATTGAAGAAAATCTTGTTGGAATATTAATTGCAATTATTTTAACAATGACGATTTTTCCTGTTTTTGCTATTGATTTATTAAAAGAAAATATTCAAAGTAAGATAAAAAAAAGTATATGAATTAATTAAATAAAATTATTTTTGATTTAGAAAGTCTTCAATCATGTCGAGAAAGTGTTGATTCAATGCATAAAGTTTATGATGAATTATTTCATCATCAACATTTAGAAAAAGATATTTCAATTTATTTTAATAATAAAAATCAAATAAAACCATTTCTTGATAAACAAAGATCATATTTTCATCAATTAATAAGTAGTCAACGTATTCTTGTTTCAAATGCATCAATTGAACCAACATTTTGTTGGTTTAAAAATGGATTTTCGTCATCACGGTATAATTTAATTGTTCAACAACAAATTGATATATTTAGAATGTTACATAATATTGATGCTACCGTAAGCGTCTCTATTAATAAATAAATAAATAAAATCTTCTTTTTTATTTTTAGTTAATATGTTTAAGTGAATGTTCAATACATAATGAACATGAATTAGAATTTTTAAAAATTCAAGCAGCTGATGGTTTATTTCTTCCAAATCTTCATAATGAATTATTTGATTTAAGTAAACAATTAAATGATTGTTTACAAATTTGGTCATATTATTTTAAATTAAGTCAAACACGTTGTTATTATATAACACGTGGATTAATTCCACATCGAATTGAATTTATCCAAAGTGATCTATTAAAACAAGAACAATGTCTTATTGATTTGAATAAAACAATTCATCGACTTGAAAATAAACATCAACAAGGAATTAATCGTTTATTTGATCAATATTTTCAGCAATTTAATCATGATGAAAATTCAACAATTATCGTTTCATATTTACAAAATCAACAAGCTGATTTTATTCTTCTTTCTCTATCAGCTATGTATTATTCAATTACACAATTAGCTTATGCAGCATTAGCTTTAGGCACAACAATTCATGAAGTTTTTGAACTTGAAACAACAGATTTATATCAAGCTTTTTAAATGAAATTTTTATTATCTTTTAATAAAAAATTCTAAAAAACAACATTGATCTATTTGTCTTGAGGGTGGGTGAGAGTGATATTCGTATCTTCACCCACATCCTCAAGATAGGAAAGTTACACTTTTTTTCTGTAACTATTGATTCGAAAAGAACGAACAAACAGAGAACAGACACTCATCAATATATCATTCAGTTACTGGAAAAAACCAAATCAATCAAAATATACTTTATTCTATCAATGATCAACAATAGAATATAAAAAAGTAAAAAAACATAAATCAAGATTAGTTCCATTTCAAAAGGATACGATTGCCACTACGTTTGATCGTATAGCTAAACAATAGTCTTTTTGATTCGATCAGATTTTGTAGTTGATGAATGATGTCTTCACTAGCATTTGGAATACATAGACATAACGTTCGAAGTTGCGGAGCCAATGTGCCAGCCTTGATGAGAATAAGCTGTAAGAGCGCGTCCAAATCCATGGTGTTAGAAATATGAATTTGGAAATATTGCATAGACAAGCAAAGATAAAGAAGAAAATTCACTTGGCCGAGATCAGTTGTGTTTGCATGACAGACCTTGGTTATTTTGTTATTGATTGAGGCGACAGAATACCTCTCGATAAGATTGTCACAGGAGCAATCTGGTTGATTGAGCTGTTCTATGGATGACACTTTGATAGAATCAAGATAAGGTAATAGTTGTATCATTTTGACTAACATCTCAGTCGAAATCGTTGGATAATCGATAGTCAGATGAGTGAATTGTACAGCATCGAAAACGATTTTGTACTTGTCAATAAACGGTTGATCAATTCCAGGAAGGATGCTATGAATACTAAGTTGAATTGTTGTAGTTAGTTTGGTCGAAGACTTGCTTGTGCTTGGCTGCTTCGACAAGATGCCATCTTTAGTCGATTGATTCAAACATCTATCATTATTCAAATGTTCATAATCATCAAACCATCTCTTCCTAAGAAAACGAAAGCGAACTTTTTTTTGCAATAAAATAGGTTTTTTTAGCATACTTATGTGAATAAATCGAATATGTTACAGTTTCAGTACTAATTTCAGCATCGAAGAACCACGGTTGTTCAGTCCAAAATGGTGAAGTAAACTGATTCATTTTTATATATAAAAAGTTCCTGAGATATTCATACCCATCGTATTTCATATATCTGTAACGGAATTTACACAAATTAGGGATGTGGTTTTTAATCATTCGTTCCCATCGATCAGCATCAAAATAATCTTCATCAGCATAATGTTCAATATTTAATATTTGTAACTGAGGAGATAAGTTTTTCAAGATGCTTTCAAATTCAGCGAGTTCCATAAAGCGACAAACAATCGAAAGATATTTCAAATCGGATAATACCATTAGCTGTTCGTTATTGGTGCTCGATCCGATTAAGTTTGTACAAATTAATTGACGAACTTTAGGTGTATGACGAAGAATAGAAAATAATTGTTGAGTGGTGCAGTTATGATCAATCTTTAGATATTCAAGAGAGCTGAACCGTTCATTAATAGCGTAAGGTACAGAGATATCTAGTTCTTCCTCTATATGATCAGAGCTAAAGTACAATGTATTGTATTTCAACGCAGGTAATGAGAAGATCATTCGATAAATGTTCCCAAGATTATCATGCCATTTATTACCTGCCAGTGTATTCAATGAAAAGAGTCGAGGTAAAGATTTCAAGTAGAAGAGTAACATCATAAACTGATTGAGTCTAATGTCATTCAACTCAATCGATTCAAGGCGATGAAATGATGAATCAATCATACAATGTGCCAGAAAAGTGTCGATCATTCGGTTATGATCGAAATAAAGTGACAGAATATAGTGCTTGTTTGGAATGAAAAAATTCTTACAGTAATGTTGCATTTCTGATTGTGTTGAAGGAGGAAATGTGATTTTGAGTGGAAATGCTGAGTGAAAGAGCAGATGTTGGAAACGAGAATTCAAGTTGGAAAATACATCGTAAATGTCACAACCTTCGAGATATTCAAAAATATCATAAAAAAGTTCATTGGATAAATCTTCAATATGAGTGATTAGGTTGCTAGAAAAAGGTGAAATCAATAGAGTATGATAAAAAATAATTTTTCGTAACTTACGTTTCTTCATTCATTGTTGCTGAAAAAAGACACCAAATAATGAATCATATACGTAAACTAGAAGTAACTTACTTCGAATTTGTTTTCTTTCAGTGCCTGAAAACTCATTCAGTTGCGACGATCGTTTATTCTGATATATTTAAGCAAATAAAATACACGGTGCTTCACTTGATTTATACTTCAACCCACGTTGAAATATATTCTTATTATTTCTATTTAATCTTATGATTCATTCTCAGTTAAGCGAAAAATCCAATGAAGACGAAAGTTATCATCGCTCGAAAACCTTTGAATGTATAGATGGCGCAGAGTTTGGGAAAACGAATTTCTTAATTAAGGTTTGTCATATAGCAAATAGTTTTGTAGGATGTGGGTGTGGATGTAATTGTTGATAATCATGTAATACCTATATCCACACCCTTACACCATCCACATTCACACTCTCAAAATTTGACTATATTCCATACACATTAAACTTTCGATATTAACTATTTTATAAAATTTCAAACATTGAACTACTCGAAGTAATATATAAGAAGGTCAATCAGTTACTAAGGTTGCGTCAACTGGTTCAGAAAAGGTATTAATATTTGAGTGCATTTAATTATTGAAATAATTTAATATTCAATTATTATGACGATATACAACTGTGGTAGAAAACATCCAGATAGAAAATATAACCCGCCAATGTGATTAATATGAAATATATATATTGAAAAAAGCGCTTTTATCATAATTATCAATTGATAAATTGTATTGCAATGCTTTCCTATAATCTCATATTAATCTTGTCTTCTTCTCTTTATGTTGTTCATTCACTTAAATGTCATTCATGTGAATTTCAAATCGAACTTTCAAATTCGTTACCAAATCAATCTTCATTACCAGATGAATGTCGAATAACAGTAGAAGATGATATATCTTTATGTAAAGCTTATATTCAAGTCAATTATTTAACGGATGAAATTTATATTTGGTGGAATGCAATACCAAAAGATACTGTTCAATCTATTGCAAATAATTTAGATATACCATTACCTCTTAATCGTATGCAAAAAAGTTTAACAAAATTTCAATTTGATGTTAAATTTAAACCTAAGGAAGTATCAATTATTTAAGGTTGATTTTTAAAACCAAAAAAATTTTGTTTTTTTTAGGAAATTTTTCTTGGTGCAAATATTTTTTGTCAATCAAATGATTATTGTATTATTAATGAAACAAATCGTCTTCTTTCACAACTTAATGCATTAAAACATGTATCATCAAAAATTCAAAAAATCTATCAAAATTTATTAATTCAATCACCAATGAATACAACATCGGAATCAATTATTAATTGTTTTCATAGTTATTCAGATAGAATTATTCAATGTACAGGTTCAAATGATGTCGCTTGCTTCATTGGAATACCTGAAACATCAACAGATATTGAAGCTGATTGTATTCGAGTAAATTTTTCTTTTCTTCTATTGAACATTCGATGTTTCTTTTTTTAAGAATTCGGATGATTTATTTGTGAGTGTTTCATATTATATTACTAATCCAATATCACATATAAAAAATGGTAAATCCTCATGTTCAATTCATTGTAATCGTGATAATTGTAATACAGAAGAAATTTATAATAATGTTATAAAAATAGCACAAAAATATATATCAGGATAAGAAAACATGAAAATTTTATTTTGTTCGATTATCGATATGTGTATAATTTAAATTACAATAAATATATTTCTCATTTCATTAAAATTATATTCATAATCCTTTGACATATAGAATATTTGATAAAGTTCAATATTATAATAAATCAAATGTCCTTCGATTCGCATTGATTTGAATGTTCAAAAAAAAAACTTTACGATACAAGCGAATATTATATTCATATGTCATGATCAATCTTGTATAATAAGAAATGAAATATATCATAATAGACAAACATGAAATTATTCATCAGTCAATAGAAGAAATTTTTAAATCTGTAAATATACGATTTCAAGACCATCTGATGCGTCTCAAGTGCTCGATGATGCAATTACAATCTAGGAAGAAAAAAACTTAATCATCGTTCATTCATTTGTATAAAAGAATAATATTTTATATGAATAAAAAAAAACTACATAGTAATTGTAACAGCTCGTATGAATATATACAAAACTCATTAGTTACCTTGAGCAGATATCGTTTATTTGAAGAAGAAGAAAAAAAAAATTCGTTCATAATAAAGTACAAGCAATGTGTCGTGTAAGTACGTTGACTATATTAAAAGGATTTTTTTTTGTCATATAACTATTCAATAGAATGTATGGTGTTCGCCCTTCACCTTTCGAATAAAATGTCTTTATTACCTGATTTGATCGATATGTTCTTTTTTTTCTTCTTTCTTTCACCTTCAAAAAAAAAGTGCAGAAGAGACGAGTCATTTAATGTGTTGTTAACATAAAGATTGAATGTAAATGGAACAAAAAATGCCTCTCGATCCAATTCCCTTGAGTCGATTTTATCGTCAAAATCGTATTCCTAATTATGAACCAACTCATCCATGGGTTCGTTATATTGTTGGAACGGTTGCTGTAGCATCCATATTTGGTATAGTACTTCTAATAATATCGTTAGCTATACCAATAAGTATGCTTGTCATTGGTGTTCGTTATCGTGATCGATATTATTGTCCAATTGAACCACGTATTAGTCATTTTTTAATTGTTGCTGGTGCAGTTTCACTTGTATGGATTATTCTCAATATTCTTTTATCATTAGCAACAATGTTTCTTGCTTATACACGTTCAATAATTTCAGTTATTTGTGTTGTTAGTCTTAGTATAATTATATTTGTTTTACAAATATTTTCAATAATTTGGTTAATTGTTGGAAGTGTTTGGACATTTGGTATACGAAGTCGTGTTGAATTTGTAATTAATTATCCATATAATTTTCGTGTATATTGTCATAAAACATTATATGAATTTACTTTTGCATATTTAATTATTATTTATATTCTTATGGCATTACAATGTTGTGGACAATGTTGTGCAACTTTTATTCGTTCAAAACAACAAAAATAGTTTGACTCAATTTTTTCTTTACATCTTCTCAATTTATGTCATATATATCTCATCATTGTAGAAAGAAATATTTTAAAATTTAGTTTATATTGAACGAATAAATAATTGTAATTATAGTTTAGATAAAATTAATTAAAATGGTTCATATAAATCTGTTGTTTCAAGTTCAAAAACATCATGTATTGTTGTACCTAAAGATAATGCTGCTTGAGCAAGTTGTGCTATTGAATAATGCATAGCTGATAGAGTGATATATATTGAATCGATTTCGTTATTTTTAACATATGGAATAAAATTTTCTGGTAATTCATCTTCAAGAAATCTTCGAAAACAATATTTTAAAATAAAATTTGTCGCTTTTTCATGTTCAACTTGAAGATAAACAACAGTTCGATGAAGTTCAATTAAACATTGTTCATATTTATTTAAATCCGATTGAATTAAACTTGTTGTTTGATGTATTGAACCACGAAATATTTGATAAGATTTGGTTTTTGTTAAATAAAAATATGATGACCAAATTTTAAAACAATCATTTAATTGTTTACTTAAATTATTAAATTCAGGAAGAAATATACCATCAATTGTATCGATATGTAAACATTCATTCATACGTAATAACTGGAAAAAAAATAACAAAAAAAATTTTCTTTTCATTATTTATCTGAATACATACACATGTATTTATATTATGTAACATTCGATAAATATCAATTTGTTGTTCAAGTAATTTTTTATAACGTGAAGTTGAAAAACCATTATTAAGCCACCAACAGGATGGTTCAATACATGCATAACCAACTAAAGTTCGTTGAATACTTATTGATTTAAGAAAACAACGTCGTTCATTATCAATATGAAATTTAATATCATCAAATTTTGAAAAATCTATTAAATTTTTATCATTATTTTCATCTTCATTATGAAATACTTTTTTATAAATATGGACAATTGATTCCACATTATTTCGACATAATTCTAATGTTGCTAGAATAAAAGATATTTTAAGTACAATTTATATTTCTTGAAAGACTTACAATGAATATTTTCTTTGAGTAAATCAATAGCAAAAACTGGAAAAATAACGATAGTTAGAACGAGAGCAATAGAAATTCCTATAACATTTTGTTGAATTCTAAGTAGAGCATAATTTCCAACTGGTAATGAATCAGCAAATGGTAATCGTCCTAAATTAACAACAATTGGTGTTGATGCAGCTACTGTAACTGTATAACCCCATTGAGGAAATAATTTCATATAACCACAAAATAATATCCATGGACAAAGCATTAAGATTGTTCTATATGTATCATCTCCAGCTGATAGATATGTTATATATGCCCACATTGCACCTATTTATTGAGAAAAAGAAAATTATAATATGAATGATTGAAGATTTTACCAAATAATGTTCCAATTAATCTCATTTTCATCGTTGTAAATGCTCCTCCAACCGTATCTCCTTGTGTCATACAAACTGCAATTAAAATCCATTGTCCATTTTCGAATTTATTTGCTAAATAAGGAATCATAACAAATACTGATCCAACTGCAATAATAATCATACATTTAAATGCTGTTAAACATCTTGACCAATTACTTTGAACTAAGTTTTTAACTAATTTTTGTTTTTTTTTATTAATTAATGTTGTTTTTGTTAATAATTGAACAATTGAATTTAATTGAAAAAGAAAAAAAGCATGAGATAAATCATCATCGGATTGAAATGTATTTTCAATAGATTGGAAACGTACTTTAATATATAATGAATGAACAGTATCAAAACTTAGTTGAAGATTTGTTAAATGATTTAATACTTCATCACGAGTTATAGATGAATGTGGAATTAAACATGATATAAATAACGATTGACATAGACTTAAATTTAATAAACTTGATTTTAATTCATTCATACAATTATTATGATATTCATTAAAATTACATTGTATTACAAGTAATTCAAGTGAACATATATGAAGTATTAATGAACATATTAAATCTTGTTGATCTTTAAAAATAAAAGAAAAAATATCATTTTCATTTACTTAGATTCATCGTCTGTTTGTTTGTGTGTCCGCACTTCATCGATTAGTTTCCATAAACTTTGACCGAAGGGTAATCAAGGTGGAGGAACACGAATCTGACGTTATTGTTTTTAGAATTTTTCTGAGAATTATTTTGTAGACAAAAAGCAGTCTTTTAAAGAAAGTCTTCAGCTCTATTATAAATATCATCCCTACGAGAAAGAGCTGAACGAGTCTCTGAGCGACGAACGTTACTTGTTTGCTTAGATCATATTATTGTCTCTACTGATTCTATAGAAATTCATTAATCACAAACCTTGAAGATCTAAATCAATAATATATCTTCGTTTTCTATTAAATAATTTTTGTAATAATCTTGATGGTTCATAATAAGTTTCGTCAAATCTTGATTGAGTTGTAATCATTGTTTTTCGTATCATTTTTTCAATAATATGAGCACGTGAAAGAAAAATCTTAGCACTTATTTGATCTTGACATAAATAAGCTTGAATAATTAAATGATACATATATTGAAGATGTAATAAACAATAATTAAAACGATTTTCAATATCAAATGTAGCAAATAATGGAAAGATAAATAATGAAATAAGAATTGATATTGATATTCAAATTAAAAATATTTCAAGTAATTGAAATGCAAAAAATTTTGGAAGATTTTTTTGATTTATTATTGTAACAAAAAAAAGTGAATTAAATAATAAACTTAATTTTCTTGTTGGAATTTGTGTACATTGATATGATATTATGAATGACGAAAATAAATAAAAAAATTCACTTAATAAATAATGATAATAAATAAGATGAAAGTTTTGAAGGATATATAAAAATATTGATAATGGAATTATAATTAACATTAATTGAATATTTGTTGATAATGTTAATCCAAATGTTTCTTGTATTAATAATATTGTTATATTTGGAATCATAAATAATAATGAAAGATGATTTTTTAAATTTGTTCCATATGTTAGAAAAGAAGCAAGAGAAAATGCAATTATCATTCGAAAAGAAAATTGAAAATGACGAGTTAAAGTTGAATTTATCCATCGGGATGATCTTTCACCAAAATGATAATTTAAATATATATGACGAATTGTTTGAAAAAATAATAATAAATCCATTTGAAATTTATATTCACTAATTAATAATATAAAAAATATTTCGAATATTTCATTTACACAGATTTAACTATAATATTGTATATGAAAAAAATATTTTCTTACTTTATATATAAATAGTTCTTTCATACGGAATATAATCTTTTCAAAAGAAGATACATTTTAATGACATATATAAGTATGTAAAGAATAGTACTTATAAATAATTATGTCTAACAAGATTATTCCATACATTCATTATTTATGTTTTCTCGTGACTTTTTAATAGAGAAATAAATTTATGATTAACTATTAACTTGCTATATGTTATTTTTGTCGTTCTATTCGTATTATTATATGTCATTGATGTTAGAAGAAAAATCAAGATGAGACAAGAACAAAAAGAATATACGTATGATCATGAGATATATCAATTCTTGACTATTGCGTGTTTGTTACAATCTCTAGCTTTACATATTGTAATTATGTTTTGATTAGTCTAAAAACTGGAAAAGTTGCTCTATTGTTCGAAAGGAGGGTTATACTTTAAATCTTTAAAACAGAAAGATATTGTTTTACTTTATAGAGAAATACATATCACGGAGAAATGGAAGAAAAGAGCAAAATATATATATTTACGTGTCCCATATGCTGTTTTTTCTTGCTTCTGTGTATATATAGAGTCGCGTATACGCGTTAAATCGTTAGTACTAGATTTACAACTGACGATCCTTCGATTTATTTCATATGGTCAATAGTTTGAGTTGACTTCTCTGAGAAAAAATCTAGATAGAATACAGTTTGAGAATAGCCTATTAATTTTTTACCGTAAGCTGTAAATGATATATATTATTATCTATACAACAGTACGGGTACATTGAGTATGATATTTTGATAAGTGATATTAGAAATATAATTGATATTCTTTGAAACATTAAACGTCAATAAATGTTATTTTGATATGATAATGCGTCTCCTATAAATTATCATCTATGATATCTAGTGTCTTTTCCGCTTTATTAACATACAGAAGAAAAATGCGACATACATTTCACTTTTAAATATATAATTAAAAAACATGTGACTTTCATTATGTTACTTATATTTATAAAATATTTATTAATGCGATGCGATAAGCAAAGCATTTATGTAGTTCTACGCGAGTTTTCGTACTTTCTCGACGTATACATCAAAGGCTGTGATTTTGTGCCGCATGATTTCTGTAAAATATTATTTATTTCTTTGAATGAAATCATCATAGTGACTGATTTTTTTTCATTGTAAATCACATATAATGACACTATATATATACTTAGTTCATTTTATTCAATTGAGTTGAGTTAAGTGTAAGTTAAGAAGTATTTTCTATTCATATTAGCATACTAATTTGTTCCACAGTATGTTAATATCTATAGAAATCATTTATTTTTCTATCTTTCGTTTATTTATTCAATACATATGAATTATTTCTTCTGTTCCAATAAAAAGAATAATTTATAGTACTGAATAAATACAGGTCTTTTTTTACAATACATATCTCTTGGTATGTATTGTTTACCTTATCGATGGGTGTTACCATCCATTTGTGTCTCAACAACACCAGAGTTTCTCTGTATGCGCGCGTATTTAAAACAATTCTCTTCTCATTTAAAAAGTTTCTTTTTTCTTTTATAAAACCAAAACTTATAGTAATATAATGTATTATTTATCTTTTTACATCTTCGAAGTTATCTCTCTACTTTTGAAGATTTGGGTGATTTGGCGATAATGATTGTTGTGCAATTTTTACAACATATTCATAACATATACGCTAATTACCCATGTTTTCATATACCAAACGAATGTTGTTCTAGGAAGAAGTCAAATCAAGATGATTGCGAGGGAGTGATTCTTGTTCAATTTCACGGGCTTTTTCAGAATAAGAAAGTGCTTCCAGATAATTACCCATGTTGTAATACACATTACTAATGTTGTTGTAGGAAGAAGCCAAATCGAGATGATTGGGAGGAAGGGTTTTTTGTTTGATTTCAAGAGCTATTTCATAACATGGGAGTGCTTTCGAATAATTACCCATGTTGTAATGCACATTACCAATGTTGTTGTAGAAAGAAGCCAGATCGAGATGATTCGGAAGAAGGATTTGTTGTTTGATAACAAGGGCTGTTTCATAAAATGGAAGTGCTTTTGGATAATGACCCATCTTGACATACACTTCACCAATGTTGTTGTTGGATATAGCCAAATCAGGATGATTGGGAGGGAGTGATCCTTGTCGAATTTCAAGAGCTCTTTCATAAAATGGAAGTGCTTCCGAATAATAATCCATTTCGACATACACTTCACCAATGTTGTTGTAGGATATAGCTAAATCAGGATGATTGGGAGGAAGTGATTGCTGTCTAATTTTAAAGGCTTTTTCATAAAATAGAAGTGCTTTTGGATAATGACCCATCTTGACATACATTTCACCAATGTTGTTGTAGGATATAGCCAAATCAGGATGATTGGAGAGAAGTGATTGTTCTCGAATCTTAAGGGCTTTTTTGTAAAATGATAATGTTTCTGAATAATTATCTATCTTGGCATGCACTTCACCAATGTTGTTGTAGGAATCAGCTAAATCAGGATGATTGAAGGGAAGTGATTGTTCTCGAATTTTAAGGGCTTTTTCATGAGATGAAAATGCTGCTGGATAATTACCCATGTTGTAATGCACTAAACTGATGTTATTGTAGGATTGTGCTAAACTAGGATGATCAGGAGGAAGTGATTTTTGTTTGATTTCAAAAGATTTTTCATGATAAGAAAGTGCGTCAGGATAATTACCCATTTTGTTATGGACAGTACCAATATTATTGTACGAAGCAGCCAAATCAGGATGATTGAAGGGAAGTGATTGTTCTCGAATTTCAAGGGCTTTTTCATGATATGAAAGTGCTTTAGGATAATTACCCATCTTGGCATGTACTGTACCAATGTTATTGTATGAATCAGCCAAATCAGGATAATTGGGAGGAAGTGATTTTTGTTTGATTTCAAGGGCTTTTGCATGAGATGAAAGTGCTTTAGGATAACTACCCATGCTGTTATGCACTAAACCAATATTGTTGTAGGAAGCAGCCAAGCTAGGATGATTGGTAGAAAGAGTTTTTTGATAAATAGCAAGTGATGTTTCATAGAATTTAAGTGCTTCGTGATATTTTCCTTGATCATATTTGATCGTACCAAGTTGATGATAAATAGGTGCCTTATCTTCATCATCTTTGGTTTGACGAAGTAAAATGTCATAAATGTCTTCAGCTTTATCAAGTTGACCCATTTTGCGTAATACCATACCCAATCTGTACCATGCTTCACTGTCTGGAAAACTCTGTTTTCGAATGTAATCAGTAAGTCTGCTCAATTCTGGATCGTTGTCTGCAGTAAGTGTCAAATGAACTTCAAATAAACGATTATTTCCACCCATCAATTTAATATCCTGGATACGGAAGACGCTATGCATCGAGAATAAGACTTCTTCTTCTCCTTGGAACTTGCTAATGCCAGCAATTGAAGCAAATGGTGTTGTTGATTGAGCAGGATTAATTTTCATGATAAAAAGTACTCCGACTTGATCTGGATTTGTTGTAGCATCTTGAGCAAAATCCAGTGAAATATTCCGAGCAGTACTAGTAGATAAGAAATTGTTGAATGAAATAAGACCACCTTTGATTTTCATCATTTGTTCAAAATCACCTGTAGATAAACCTTGACCACGATAAACGGTGAAGGTGTTAGCAGTAGTTGTACCAGCATATTGTTTTTTGTGCAGTTGTTTAATTTGTCGATGAAGATCGCTAATGAAAAAACCCATACGTGTAATGATATCACCATTCATCAATCGTAATGCACGATTGAGCATGGGATACAAGAACATTTGGCAGGTGTACCAATAAATGGGTGTTTTCTTGGGGTATTGGCTTTCTAATCGTTCAATATTAACCATTTCTTCTTTGTTGTCGGCAAAAGCATCACGACAGTAACCAAAATAATCTTGGATGTGGTTTTGTTTGAATGTGATGGTTAATAAGATTTCTTTCATGATTTGGGTGTACATAAAAGAAGGGTCTAATTGATCCAACTTTTTATTTGTTTCCACGAAACTCATGGAAATAGCATTCTGTTCACATTGATGAGCAGCTTTCTTGAGTCCTTCACAGATGGGTGTAATATCCGCGAAGACACCCTTTATTTTGGGGCAATCTTTGGCCCATTGTTCATGATATTTTTTATTGATACAGAAGATAAATATTGAATCCACTTGAGACATATTGTGCACACGAGGTACAATATGTTGTCCAAGTGATCCAGATATAACCATGCATACCTTTTTGTTGATGACTGTTTGAATGAATTCAAGGCATTGATCACTGTTTGTATATGTATTAATGTCGTTAACAACACGTCGTAATTCTGTGATTGTACTTTGGCAATCATCATTTGTTTCATCAATGTTACTGTCTAACCAGATTAGTAGAACATTTTGTATTTGTTGGATATTGATACGTCGACGACCTTCTGCACTTTCTGGAACTGCCGATGTATTTGTTGATTGCTCGTTGTCCATTATTGACTGCATGAATGCTGTGAATTCGAGCTACTGTGTAAAATTTACTAGTGGACTAATGATCAAAAACGATTCTTTTTATAGTTGTCTACGTCCTTTCGAAATGTTTTATCTATAGCTGTTTATGATGATGCAATGAAAAAGAAACAGCTGAAGAACGAAAAAAGCAGACGGGTAAGATATTGTTATATCTTTGATAAACATCAATGTACTCTACGAGCAATAAATTTTTATTTTCTTTGATGGAGAAAAAACCGGTTGAGTCATGTTTATTATTGGAGAATCCCCAAGGGAAAAAAAGTACTTATAATCATAAATATTGACTGAATTACACAAGTTGATGATATAATTCGTCATCATGTATTCGTAGACATGAAATTTAAGAAAGTTGTTTAAACTAGCTTTCATCATTTTTCTTGCTGTATTCTTTTGATTGGAAGCTTGTATGTAACGCATTATGTAGATAACAATGATAAACTTGGAAAGAAAGTACATTTGTCATTAACAAGCGCAAAAAAATTAATGAGATTGGCAGAAAAGGTGTTCATTATGTCTCTATCTTCTTTAGGTTTGGGCAGGCTTTCTTTCGAATATAGATGCGAGTGAGTGTCGGTTGATTCAAAATATCACACCCACGCCCTTATCTGGAATTTATTTTCTGATACGACAAATAGCAGGAATAGATTGTACATATTTGTTCTAAAACTATAATATTGATATATGATGACTTTGTAAATCACTCGAAATACGCGACACATTAAATAGAAAAACTGGTCAAATATTTTATTATATACATACGAACTTGAAAGACAAGCAATACATGTGGGTTATTCGGTACAGGATTTATTTTATTCTAAAACTAATTCAACTAACGTTTTCATTGCGATCACACACGAAATTGATCTCATTACAGAGTACCATATAATACTCATAGTCATTATTTAGACAGCATGTATGAAAAATAACTACATTTACATTCTTCGTCTGATAATCAATCAAGAAAGATGATGATTTTTTAACTATTTATTCCTTGTTTCCATGAATTACAATTCATGGTTTATTTAGTTTTTATTTATATAAAAAGTATCTGAGAATGATAGTTGTTGCTTGTTTGATGGCATCATATTTAATAATATAGGACAAATAAGATAATGTTCATTTTGCTGTAGAAAACAAAACGATCACATCAGAAATAATTGCTTTCTCAATGTAACATATAACGCCAAAGAAGGAAACAGAAGTATTTGTAGTCGAGCGAAACTCGAATACCATCTAGTTTATATAATATGGATACATAGTAGTTCACTTAGACATGAAGTTTAATGTTATTTCATTTTTATTAAATAATATATAAGAGAGTTGAGTGATATGACAGATTGAAGATAATTCATAAAAGAATCGACAACATTTATTCAGACTAAATAAATATAAACATTACAATAATGATACATGAATAAAGATTTTTATTAATGACAAACAACAAATATATATATATATGAGAATTGTTCATAATTAAAATCAATAATGATTTCATGTTTTAAGTAAAAAGATATTGGCATAAATATTTTTTGTAATATCATTACATAGGATGAGTTCGTTGTATATTAAAACTCGTTGCTGGTTCAATACGATGATTATTGAAAAACAATTTCCAACAAAATAAAGATTGTAACATATTTAGTAATTCACCACGAAACATACTTGATGTTAATGTATATAAATAGAATGATATTGCTGGAAATGAGAAAACAAGTCCGCCAGCTACTGCAGTTACAAAATTTTCAACAGCTATACGATCAGCACTCTTATTTGGAATATAAGATGAAATGATTGTATTTATACTGTAGAGCATCCAAGGTATTGTTATAATTGTATACATAATTATTTGAGCAAATAACATTCGAAGTGCTTGATGATCACGTTTTTGATGAAACTGTATATTTTTATTTCCTAATTGATGATCAAAATTTTGACGACGTTGTCGTTTGCTTGAAAGATTATTTCGAATAAGTAAAGTGCAAATAATCATTATTACAATTGGAAAAAAAGAACCAATAACAAGGGAAAACATGGAAATAAAAACTGGCCAAAAACTATTCACATAAACGCCACACGAAGACGATTTTATATCATAAACAACTGGAATACAAGCAGATAATACAAACCATATAATAGTGGATATACCTATAACCTTGCATGCTATGTGTACATTTGCTAAACGTCGTAAACGTGCATGAGGTGATGACAGAGCATATCGATCAAATGAAGCAGCAGCAAATGCCCATCGATAAACTAAGGAAGTTATTTGAACAATATACATACGAATTTTGCAGTAGACCACTATATATGTCAAAGGATTAGCATAATAAAATCCATAAATAGTTGGTATAGCATAAATTAATAATTGAATCAACATTGCTACAGATGCTGCTAAGAAATCTATAGAATAAAAAAAAAGTGAAATAGATAGTAACACTTTCATTGAGAAAATCGTAAAGATAAATAACTTACATGTACAACAAGACATTGTTCGAAATTGTTTTCGACAAAAGAGAAAAATATTGAGAAGACATCCAATAACACCGAATGTAACATAAATCCATGACATACCAAACAATGTATATTTTTGAATAAGAGGTAATATACTACTTAATGAAGACATTTTTGTCGATGGTTTTGTATATTAAATATAAATTTTGTCAAAAAGAATAATAGATTCAATCTAAAATAAAATAAATGTATATCTGTATTTTCTCAACAACTTCAGTAAGAAATTCTGTTATAAATACAATACTAATTTAGTAAGGACGTATCCCAAGTACATTCATCTAATAATAAAAACAGCTCAATACTATTTTGTCAACTACAGATATCTTTTCTGCCAGGAAATCACATATTATTTGACATCTCATTTTTTCTAATCATAATCATAGAAGAAATTCTATAATTGATATCGACAAAGAGATCAAATAGTTGAAACTACAAAACAAAAATTTAAAGTAAAATATTGTATAACACAAAGTATTACACCAAAAATGATCCGAAAGAATCTAGAGAAAATGCAATTAAAGTTAAGAAATAATTCTTTAAAGACTGTTGGGATTATATGACGTCAAAGGATTACAAAATAATCTTATAATTAATAAGTATATTTAGAACGTTAATAAAATCTTTATTGAAATGTTTACAATAGTATACTATAGTCTATCAATGAAAATACTCGTCGGTAAAATGATTGATGAATATATATTTCAATTATTTATTATAATATCATAGTTATATAAAAAAAAGAAAGATATTTTTACAATTAATCTTGATAATATTGTTGAGTAAGATAATTCAAAATTCAAATATTTAATTATTTTTTGAGATATTAATATTTATATAAAAGAAGAACAAAATAAATAGAAATTGATGACGTGTTCAATGATAAAAATAAACTACTGACGTATTTTTTAATTGAAAAAAACATAGATTGTGTCTGTATTTTCTAGCTAAATAGTAAACGGAAATACATTTTCTGCATACCATCTGCGATATTAAACTATGAGAACGTTTTTCAAAAACAGTATAATTGACTTTTTACTCATTATATAATATTAATGTGTACTTTATTATGAGCTCGATGTAATTATTAATTATATCTTACTGCTGTCTAAGATGATAGATAAACCTCATGAACTGTTTTTTAATTAAAATGAAGGATTTCTTCCAGACATACTGCTATAAAGTATATAATTTGGAAATGCAATTTAATAAAATGAATTTTAAGCAAGGGGGAAAAAGCGATTTATGATTTTTTGATTAAAATTGATTTTTGTGATTAAAATTGATTTTTTTGATTAAAATTGATTTTTCTGATTAAAAGTGATTTTTTTGATTAAAACTGACTTAAGGTGATTTTTGTGATTAAAAATGAATTAAGCTGATTTTTTATGATTTAAATTGAGTTAAGGTGATTTAAAACTCACGTAAATTAAGCACCACAACATGACTTTACGGTGGTTTAAGATTATTATGTCCCTAGAAATATACATGGGGCATATGAATGCTTGTACTCGTCTTTTATCCAGCTAATCTATCAAGTAATTACTGAAGTAAGCAATCAATTTGTACATATGAAAAGCTTAGATATGTACAAATATACATGCCATAGTTTATTTAATGTATGTAATCTATATGTATATAAGTTTAGAACAAAACATTTAAAATGAAATGTTTTTTCTGCATCTTGAGTTACAATTCAATTAAGATTATGTATAATGATTGGAAGATGAGCTGAATGTTAGTTAACTATGCCAGTTAAAGAAATAGAAAAATGAAACGATCATTTTTTGTCACACACTTCCATTGTCTGTCTGTGAAAAATAAACGATATAAAAAATTTATTTCTTTTGAACTCTAATTGATCGATCAGATGATAGTATACGCTTTGTTTTGGAAAAATACCAGTTTGCAGCATTTTTGTGCATAAATTTCTTTTGTCCATTCGCTTCGACAGAAAAAACAATGCACTTTGTTTGCTGTTGATAGAGTCAAAGATGCGCATTCCATGATATGTCGAATTCAACACATCAGGAAGAACATCAGCATCCGATTCATCGCTTAATATCGATTCGTTGTAGTCATCAATATTATTATTTCCATTAGACTGCTTTTGACTCAAATATGCTTCATACTCGTCGTCTACGTCTTGTTTACTATTATTTGATGGATGATCTTTCTGGGTAAAAGTTTTACATTGTGATCTTGTTAACTTCATAAATGTAATAGTAGAAAGTTGAATTCAAGTATTCATTTAAGTATTCAATTATTCAGTTATCAGGCAAATAAAGGACGTGTCGGAATAGAACAACGATAAGATGGAAATGAGCACGTGATAACGATAAGATGTGGATGAACACACGTTAACGAATCGAGAAAAAGAATATCTTTCCTCTCTATCTTTCCGCCTTAATGATAGTAACAAATCGAACAAAATTCTTCTCGTTCTGTATTATTTAATTTTAAATGGAGGGACAAAAAGAAATTCTATGTTAAAATATTCTACGACTATAGAGGACACATGTTTATCATAAAATCAAACCGAAAAACTGTTTGTTGTGCTCGGCAATACCATATGTGTATCCAATAACGTATATAAACGTAATGTGTTTTAATTATGTCAGTTACAGTAGTAATTTCACAAAGTTTTTGTCATGAGTCGTGATGATTAAAAAATGATTTATACATGATTTAACTGATTTAAATGATTAAAAAGTGAGTTTTTGATTAAAAAGTGAGTTTTTGATTAAAATTTGATTTTTTGATTAAAAATTGATTTTTTGATTAAAATTTGATTTTTTGATTAAAATTTGATTTTTAACTGATTTAAATCAGCTTTTTCCCCCTTGATTTTAAGTGTTCTTTTAATTCTCGTTAAGGATAATCCAACTTGCGAACAATTAAATATGTATATATACATTTGATTTGTTCATTACGATATTAGACTCAATGTTACTTGAAATATTAGACATTGATTTAGAAATATTGAATGTATCAAAAATGCTATGCAAGTTTTATAAAACGTGAAATTTATAATATTAGTAGTGATGACTTCCGTAGATTTATTGGGGTTAGAATTTTTACTTGAACTCTTTGTTTATTATCATTAGGTAAAATTTATATTAGCAAAATATTGTTACGAACATGCAATAAAATTATTTTGTTTTTAAACGGTTAATGATGATAGAAATAAAATAGAGCAAACAGACGTCAGAACGTTAATAATTATAATTTATCGTATAAAAAAGATTAATTTTTTAAAAATAAATACTATTTTTTTGACAACAATGTCCTATTTATCAGAAATATTTGTAAGTAATCTTTACCGTAAATCTTCTCTAAAGATTAAAGATAAAACTAAATTTCGTAAAATTCTCCTGCATAATTATGATTTATTTAATTCTAAATAAAAATCGTTCTGATATATTATTTTATTTATATAATAATAATGTTTTACGATTGCAAGGAAAGCGAATCATTACCATAATATTATATTCATATAGAGAATAAAAGTTAAAAACTATAAATTAAACTTTGTAGCAATTGAGCCTGTAGATATTTAATTAACAGAAAAAGGAAAAATCTATTGAATAATGAAATAAAAACAGGTACTCGAAAGGAGAAAACGTTGTTTCTGTTCAATAGAAACTTCATCAATAACTGTAATGATTAATAAAAAACTTTGCCGGTTCCTTATAACACTATTTTCTCATGTTTCGTTCGAAACTTGTCACAGGTGCTTCTCTCAGGATATTGCATGTTTTTCTAATAATGAAATGAGCTAATACCTTCTATATTTATTCTTTCATTTTGTTTCTTTTCTTTTCGTTATCAAGAAGATATCTAGTCTTTTGCCACTGTCATACTTTTGTTATTCTTCTTATGATACTGTTTTATCATTTTATATTATCTTCAAAACTTTGATCCAAACAAGAAAATGTGAGTGGTTTTCATTCATTCGAGCACTTTTTTTTCGCGATATCCCTTTTTATTAAACAGAAGAATAAGATTTTTATGACAGATTGTTTTTATTTATATCTAATAGATCTTTTATACAGCATGATCCAGGCCAAAGATTTCGATAATAGTTCAGTAGATGGGTAGTAGTTAAATAAGAAAAAAAGCAATTTTATAAGAATATTAATATTTATAAAACTATTGATTTTTGTAGATGTCTTCAACAACTATGCAAGCTGCTATATTTAAAGGCATACAAACAATAGTCGTCGAAAATCGTTCTATACCAATCTGTAAAGATCCTACGGATATCGTTATCAAAGTACACATAGCCGGTTTATGCGGTTCTGATTTGCATATATACCGTGGACATGAATCGAGCGAGACAGATATCATCATGGTAAGTGGAATAGTTCTAATGGGAATTCATATCGAGAAAACTTTTGATAATGATAGGGTCATGAATTCGTTGGGGAGGTTGTTGAAGCTGGATCCGATGTGAAAATTTTCAAGATAGGCGATAGAATTATTGTGCCATTTTCAACATCGTGTGGTACTTGCTTCTATTGTGCGAAAGCACTTACTTCACGATGTGAAAAATCTCAAGTGTTCGGTTCACTTCTACTCGATGGAGGTCAAGCCGAATATGTACGCATTCCTTTGGCAGGTATGATTCTTTCCCTTGAAATATAGCATCATAGTTGATTGTTTTGATTAAAAGATCATATATTCATTGCTTTCCAATACATGTGTTTCATTTTGTTAGATACTACTGCATTCTTTGCGCCAAAGGAGATTTCTAATGATCTTGCCATATTAATGGCTGATATATTTCCTACGGGTTATTTTGCTGCGAAGAATGCATGGACTCTACTCAGCGATCAAGAACGTCAGGATCCAAATCTCGTCGTTGTTGTGATTGGATGTGGACCAGTTGGATTATGTGCTATTACGGCAGCTTGTGAGTATTTTCCAACTGTATATGCAATTGACAGTGTTGAAGAACGCCTGGGTTAGTTTTAATTTTTTTTGTTCATATTTAAATTGTGAAAATAAAATTTATCTGTTGATTATAGAAGAAGCTAAAAGACATGGTGGTATTCCAATTAATCTAAATAAAGATCCAGTGAGCGCAATTAAAAAAATTACGGAAGGCCGAGGAGCGGATGCTGTTATGGAAATTGTTGGACATGCAGATGCTTTGCAATTGGCCTATGATCTTATTCGTCCTTGGGGGGTTATCGCTTCGGTTGGCGTACAACAAGATGCATTTCCATTCAAAGGCCCTCAAGTATATGATAAGAATGTACGCTTACAATTTGGAAGATGTCCAGTTCGAGCTCTGTTTTCTGAAGCATTGCAAATCTTCTCAAAGAAACAAGATCAATTTAAAAACTTTATATCTCATCGCATGTGTTTGTCAGACGCTCCTAAAGCCTATGAATTGTTCGATCAGCGATTAGCACGAAAAATTATTTTTGATTTACAAATATAATCAGCAGAAACATCTTTGTTAATCAACTATTTATTAACTATAGCATGTTTTTTCTTCGAATTTCATTATTTCAATTAGAAAATAAACGAAGAGAAGGTTTACAAACTACTGTTGTTCTACTTTAAAAAGCATTTCATTCATAAAAAAAGTTAAATTTTCACCATTTTTTTTGTTTCTTTTTATTTTAGCAAGTTGAGCTATGGAAACAATGTCGTAAATTTTATCGAGAAAACTCTACAGTTAAAAAACAAAATTTCGATCAAAACTATCGTATTTATATATAAAATTTTATAATCAATTAAATAGTGCATTTAGGTATCCAAAATAAAATACATTTTAATGTTATAACTACAAAACTCCTAATGCATAACATAAAAGACGGGGGTCGTTTTTCCACGAACATTGCCCCCTCTCACAAGTAGAGTTTTACCATGTAACATACTTATATAACAATGACTGTAAACTGTCTAAATTCTTGACCTTTATTATATTATAACCTATATATATGACTCCATACGCTATCCATCTTTTTCTGTTATGCACAAAACATTATTCATTCTTTCACTCTCGTACACGTGTACATATTTTTAATCTTTCTCTTCTGTATTCTCTCTAGGTCCATGCTTCTTATTCTATTCAGTTGACTATTCTAAAATAATTTCTACGTCTACCATATTCGATAATATATATTTTGGTGTGTTTATTAAGATCGTTATTTAGTCATCTATGTCTCGATACGATTTTCTCGAAACATTAAGACAGTCAATTTTTATGGTAAGTTGAATTTTATGGAGTTTTTTTCTACTTAAATCTACATTTATAATTATAGATTGCAGATTTGCAAAAACTTCAAAAAGAAAAAAATGAAGAAATAAATTCTTATACGAAAAATGAAGCTGGTATTGTTGTAGTTGATGCACTGCAAATGAAGAAATATAAACAAACATCCATGGAGATCGACATTCTAAATATATTGGTGCCACACTTCCGTAAGATCTAATAGCACAAATAATAATATGTAATTAACCTATATTATATTTAATATAGGTGAAATGATCAATGAAAAAATCGAGAATGCTACAACAGGCTTAAATATATCTTCTAATCATTTTATTGGTGGACATATTGACGATGTAATTGCCCACGACGATGGTTCTTGAAGCAGAATTCCATGAGTTTTGGACAAAATCCTGAGGAAAATGCCAGGAATCCGATGAAGAAGCGAGGTAACCGTATCCGGCTTCCGATTCCAGCCTAAACCAGATAAATCCGGCCATCGGATCCGTTCAACGGGAATACTGCTTCCATGAAATCTCCGGAATACCACGCAACCGGCCGTTTCCGTGCCGGATTGTTCGACCTGGGTGACAAAGTCGTAACAGAAATTGGGGATGATAACAATCGTTGATTATATTATTTACAAAAATTCAATGATATGTAATAAACAATATAGGTTTTTTTGTCCTTGTATCGTTTATATTTCATATGATTTCTTAATAAGAAACGTTGCAGTCACTTCACATTACATATCGAAGCAAAATTTCAGTAGGATCTAAGTATCTTAGTGTTTTTT